GTGGTTCCATAGCTGACACAGACTGTGAAATCATAAACTTTGGTCTGTGTGGTTGACGACACCTGATGAGCCAGAAATGGGCATCCAAATTTCCCCTGTGTCCGTCTGTCTTACTTTTCTGTATATACTAATGAGCTCTATACTTATTAGTCCGGGGATTCTAATATAAACCATCAATCAAAATACGTTGAGCAGGTCGCGTAATCTGATCGTTTAAAAACGGTAAACTCATTTACTTGCCTAAATTCGACCAAAGATACCTAGGCATTTTTCCCAATTTTACTGCGCAGGTATACAAAGTGCTCGCTCGTTCTCCATTATGCGTCAGTTATTTTTTCTTAAATCAGGTGATATCTACTGCTAAAGTAACAATCTCATTCCTTAACTCAAAAATTTATATATCCACACGATATGTTATAAATATAGTTTTGTTTAAATATGTAGATTTTTGCCGAAATCTTATAAAATCTCAATTAAGGGTCTGGTGCACACACGACTATGTCTGAATCAATCCCGGAGGCTCGTCTTGTTACGATTCGGCAGTGGCCAGATAATCCTGGCTATGGCTTCGTCCTTGATAAGGGTACCGGCAAAGGATTTGTTAAAGTCAAGAAGGTGAACCCAGATACCCCAGCGGCTGCCGCTGGTGTACTGGAGAATGACTTAGTAATAGAAATCAACAATACTTCAGCAGGTAAGATTTATTTTAAAAAACATTTTGGTTAGAAAACGTCAAATATGAGGACATCGTTTCGAAGATCAAAGCTAATCCAAACGCTGTTAACCTTATGCTCTTACAGCCGGCTGAGAAGGATTGTCTACAGGCTAGAGGATACAAGATAAATTCTAAATCCTGCCCACTTTACACAGTAGTAGGCCGGAGCGCACCCGATGAACAAACGAAGGTAAATGCAATAATTGCACTCTAAATTTAAAAGTTACTCTATTACTATTTACAAAAAAATACATAATTAAAATGCTCATTTAAAACTAATTTATCACTGCACTACTGTAAATAATATAATTTTAAGTAAAAATGTCTTCCAGTTTCCTGTTTTGCTTGCGCATGGTATATGCTTTTTCATTGGGTTAATGTGCAGGATCCCAATTTGAATATTAATTCCAAAATATGTAGCTCACCATCTGATTTGCAGCCATTGCTACTAAAAATCCAATACCTCACTCATATCTAATAGAATTCCAAATAATTTTTAATGTCAGTGCAGATTATAATGAGTTATTTATGGACAACTTAGCTTTAACAGATGTAATAACTATATGGAATGAACGCAATTATTTTTTTCTAGGTTGTGGCCGAGAAGGCGAAATTGCAACCCTTTGAGGCCACGCTCCTTCGGTCCGATGCCACAACGGTTGCTTTCCTCTCAAACAAAAGGAAGCAAGTCCTGTTGACACTATGAGGTTCGTGTCTTTGCAACATTTTGTTTAGCAAAAATCGTTCTCTTTCAAAATAATATGTGATGAAGAAATTTAAGCTAAAATAATTCGTTGGTTTAATTATGGTTTAAATCCTTCTTTTTAGATACTTCTGATGGATTTGAAGATCACTGCTTAACTTCCTTCAGTATACCTTATGCACATAATATATATTTTTTTCTATGCCTATTTTCTGTAATTGAATATCACAGACAAACATTTGCCATTGAGAACCACGGTTATTTATAAGCGGGTCATACAAATTAAGGTTGTATTTTTACGACACAGGATTAGCTGGTGAACCACTTAAATCGGTGGCTAAGGTCATTTTAGTTGGGTTCCGTCTCCTTGCGCAAAAACATTGCTCCATTTTATGTGACATCGTTTTCTGAAGTAACAAAGATAACAAAAGGTTGCCAATAGAACATTTCAGTCACTGATGCAGGACATTGGATTTCGGCAGTCAAACTATTAGACAGCAACTACATCCGTATATGTGAATAGCTGATCATCTAGTATGGTGTTCGGATAGGCAGTAATGTATACTGTTTTAGTGATCTCTTGCTATGAACATACGTTGGGTATTTTCCGTTTGTGCCTAATTTTGTGTTCTCATATCCCACTGGCTTACGCCGAGGAATTTTAGCGCTTGTTTATCTGTCGAAGCTGGCGAGCCATGGTTTGTAATCGGTCGTCAACATCAATCCAGAGTGGGTAAAGTAAATGCACCTTTCGTTCTAGGCAGCTGAATAATTAATGGTGTAATAGGAGAATTCATTGCAGCTGCTAGACGAATGTTTAATTTATAACATTATACCAGTGATACGCGGATATTATTCTGAAATTGGAATAAGTCAGTAAATGCCACTGCCGGGGGGGGCTGATCGTTACCGATAGAAAGAGAAGCTCAGGACTCAATTGTGAGCGAGCCTATTTAGTGTTCTATGACCAGAGGTTAAGGCATCGAGCTCTGGGTCTTCCCAGCCTGGGTATGGTTTGCGGGCGTTGCCACAAAATCAATTCCTTCCAAATTCCGTAATGCTTTTTAGGTTTAAATATATTTATGCAAAATTAAGATACGCCGCGTCAAAAAAAACCTAGGGAATTGGTAACTTGCGGAAATAAATACTGACGGAGAAGGAAGGCAGAAAAAATATATTATTTTAAATACTTAGCTAACTTTCCCAAACTCGGACCCATTTTGATTCATGACTCGGCTACATAAAATAAGCTGTAGATTGCATGGTTCAATGAGTTTTCCCGCTCGGCCATTGTCGATGTCCTGCTTGTTTGTCTTACCTCGATCGTTTGGTGATAAGTTGTTTCTGTTAGGAGTCTAGCTTAACCGAATGATAGCATAACCGTGCTGGCTGTGTTCACGCGTCGTGCCTGCGGCCGAATGCAAAAATGACTCAACTTTGACCCTCTTCTTCTTGTGTAACTCCTTTGGGATTCCATAGGGCGTAATTAGACAGTGACACAGCCACCATCACAACAACGTTTTGCCAATACTGGCTTTTAGTACGTGGGAAGTTGGTTCGACCCGCCAGATAACTGTTCGAGACGAAAGTTGGTTGTCCCGGCCATCGGCTAAACTATTGAACACAACAAGGTTAGTAGACATTAAGGTAATTCATGGTAATTTTCCCTCGGTCATCCCGGTTTGCCTAGGGGTGAAGATAAGACGGAGGCAAATAGATGTGCCTGGTTACTTAAAGAGCATCTCCAGGCGACGCTTCTTGTCTAAGTTATGGAATCCTCGAACAACAAAGGCATGAAATGTCTGCATCCAGGGTATACGAACATAAGCAGCATTGCTCCTATACTGCTCATTGGCAGG